GGCCGTCGCCGGGCGTGTCGTCCAGCCTGAGCTTACGGGGGATGGGGGGGGGCAAGGAAAGCGGGGTGCTGAACGGGGGAACGAGAGGCGCCACGAGGCCCCTTCAGCGGATCAAATGGTGGAGCATCCTTGTCTTGGGGAGGGCAGCCAACCCTCCGTCATCACGTGGCTGAGATTCCTGCGTGTCTTTTTCTGGCTTTAAATAGTGCGGCTGGTTCTGGTGAGTCAGGTGTTTGGAGCGTGGATCTCAGCAGCGCCTCTGAATTCGCAGCGTGCCCTTGAGCAAGTCCCTTCTCATGCGGCGTTTCACCCTCTTCTCTTTAAGAAACATTTAAGTCTCAAAACAATGAACGTTAAGTTTATGATGTCCTAAAGCAGAAGATACTGTGGTCCTCCGGACTTTGCTGAGTAACCACAGAACTCCCTTGCCTAGACAGCCACCTAATCCCTTTCCAAATTCCACCAGGCTGTTGGAGTCAGTGTGACAGTGAGGTCCGCGGTATGGCATGTGCAATAAAGCACATCATTTAATTGCTCTTAATTAGTAAATTTCTAGTTTTCTGCAGCTAATGCAGTTGTTGTGTTATGTCGATCTTTGCTTATATGTACTTGCACTCTCTGTTCCCACTGTTACTTTGTATATGTTATTTTCTTTTATTAATTTATCCTTTGAACTATATAGTCACTGCATCTTAGCCTTTCTTAATATATTTTTTTCATATTTCTTAGCTTTCTTCTTAAGCTTTTCCTTATCCTCATTTTCCACTTAGGTTCCTGAAAAACTATGAGAGGTTGCCTGGTGACAGGAGCATTGCTAGTGGGAGCTTTGTCAGTCTGTATCCTGTCCTTGCCCATTAAGCAATAATCCTTGAATTACAATTAATTAAAACCCAAGAGATGAGTAAGATGAATAAGAGATGAATAAGAGGCTCAGGTTATTGCTGCAGTACAGTTAAACTATTATGTTTTACCTGATGAAACATTGATGAAGGAACAGTTGTTCACTTTATCTTCTAGTACGAGAACTGGGGACCATCAAATGAAACTTGCGAGAGGTTTGTTCAAAACTAATGCAAGAACTTAGCTCTTAACACAGTGTCCAGTTAAACTGTGGGACTCCTGGCCGCAGGGTATTAGAGGATAAAAGCTTTTTATGTGTCCAGAAAGCATTTTAAAAAGATTAATGAAAAAGAATGTGTTGAAGGCTATTAAATGCAATGCAACATTTCTGGCTGAGGAAGTCCCTGAGCTGAAAATTGCAGGAAGCTGGGAGAGTGTTCTGGAGATGAGTATTTCTCCTACTCTTCTGTAGGTGATCTTTATTCACCTGTGTCCTAGGCAGAATCCTGGTTTAACTGCAGGTTTGTCTGACCTAGCATTGCTATTCTTAAATGAAGATCTTTAAGCCATCTCAATATTTGACTAGCCTAAGTAAGGACTAAAATGTGAATTACCAGTAAACCTTGTCACCTCTGTGCATGTTCTTATACCCTTTTCAGATCATTGAAAAAATGTTAATGGCAGTTTTTTTATTTCTCTCAACTAATCCTCTTTTTCTGCCACTTCAGAATTTTCAGTTTTCCTTTTAAAATGTGAGAGCAAGATCTAGAGGCAAGTACTGTTTTCTAAGGTAAAATGACCTGCCTTCTTCAATTAGCTCTTTTTGCCACTTCTTTGCTTTGGGGGTGCATGTTGTACTAGTTGTCAACTGCTGCTCTTCATCATATTTTGCAGGAATTGCTTTTGTTCCTGCTTCTAAAGTAGTGACTTCAGGGTTTTGGTTTTGTTAAACCGGTCTGTTTAAGCCCAGCATAAGGACCCTTGGTGACTGCTCAGTTCCATGTGTTTTTTCATTATTTGCCAGTCGTTGCAGCTTTGCTCAGTACTGTGACAATCTTTGTCACCCATGGATTTTATCAAGAGTAAAATGTTACTTCCTGTCTGTTGGTGGAAATACTGAAAATTGTTAGGTCTAGTCTAGAAGTTATTTTCCTAGACTCTCGCTGGACCACTGCTGTTTGATTCTTTACTGACAACTGGTTTCAGGGCAGGAAAAAAAAAGGGCTGATATTTTTTTTCTTCTTTTTGAGATTTTGTGGTTTGTTTTTAATCCATTTAGCATCTATGCTGTAGACAGAGTGCTAAGGCTCCAAGTGTGTTTTTGTGAGATATCAAGCTCACTTTTTGCAAAACTGAAGTATGTTACATTTTGTAGTTGCTTTTGTGAATCCAGCTTTTGTTTGGTAAGTTCCATAAAAAAAACCCAACAATATAGTCCCCCTCCCCACCCCCCCATTAATTAGCACAAAGTGTCTTTTAAGTCTATAGTGATCTGATTCTGTAATTCTTTTCTGGCATGAATCTCAGGTCGTATAACCGTATAACCTTAGCAGCATAAATTATTACAAATACGCTTTTTTTTTTAGTCCTGGGAGACATTAGAACTCTTCTAGGCTAGTATATTTCCTTAGATCCCTAACATTTCTCAAGCATTTAAATCTGTAGGTGTGAAGTCTCCTCAGTCATCTATTTTTAATATCCATGGCCATGGGGTTTTTGTGCCTGCTGTTTTAAAAATGTTTGTTCCGACTAGATTTTGTTAAATTTTGCCTTCATTAGCATTGGACTGAAAAACAGTTCATCTCTTTGTGACGAGTGTACATGATTTTCCATTTCTCCTGAAACAGAAGAATTTTGGAGACCTATGCCTTTCGTACATTGTGAGCAGCTGTATCATCATGTAGTGCGTGATAAGATATCATAGTTGAGATTTCTCCTAGTTTTGAACAACTGGTACACTTTATTTCCTTAGTTTTGTTTAGTCAGTGTTCTTTGCTCCCTGAAAAATCCTCCTTAGTCTCGCCATTGAGCCATAGTGGCTCAGAGGTCCCCCTTCACCTCAGACTCTCTTACTGCTGATTAAATGACCACCACGCTAAGGAGTAACAATTTCTTTAACTCTTATTATTGCTTTTAAAATTCTTCTCTATTATCTATACATATCAGTAGCTTGAGGAACTTGAACTCAGGAAACTTTTATACATACTGGAGGTGTGGGTTCAAATTCATAACCTGACCATGCTCAGGTAGGGACTTCTTGAAAAAATGAGATATTATGAAAACATTAGATAAAGTTGTGCCTCCTTATGCACTGTTAGAGAGAAAAATCTTGAGGATACCAAGCAATTGCTTCTCTAAATGTTGTCCTGTTGTAGTGTTTGCTCAGTTTTTCGATAAGAGGTTGAAACTGCTCTATTCAGACTTGTTAGACGTCTTGTTCTGTCACCACTGTACTCGGTCTTCTCCTGAACTGGAAACTACACTTCTGGTCAAGAAAACAACAGGCATGTAAGTCTGGAGCCTGTATCAGGCAAATCAGTAGAAACTGTGGTAAAGAACAGGACTGTTGGACCCCTGAATGAATATGGTCTACATGGGAAGAATCAACGTGGCTTTTGTAAAAGGAGGCCCTGCCTTATGCGACTCCTGGATCGCTATGTAGGCTGTCTTGGTGTCCGTGCTTGATCAGCTTGTTCATCCAGAGAACCTGAGCCAGGACGTTTGCTGCTTTGCTTTGTGTTGTCTTCTGAGCCTGAGCTAAGTTCTTTGGTTGTGTTCCACCTGATCCCAGACTCCCACCACTCACCATATCTCCTGAGGGAAATTGCTGCTGATCAACTGCTCTGCAAGTCGTCACCACTGCGCAGATCTGCAAGGGGCTTGACAAAGCAGCATGAGTGTAATGGAGTAGGGTAACTAGTTGCTGGCATCATTAGCTGCATAACCTTCTAGCTGCCAGATCTTCAACTCTTGGACTTCATTGCAATAGGCATCCAGGCCTCTTTTTTTTTTTTTCCTCCCCCCTAACCTGCAGGCAATAATAAATGAAGCCCGAGGAGCAAAGGCTTTGAGAGCAATGCATGTGTGCGCTGAACTGTATAGACTTTTTCAAAATAATTCTTTGGAACTCTAGCCATTTGCTGTCCTGTACCGTCATATGTAATTCTGTTGATAGACTTGATTCTTCCCTGATATCTTGTAGTTCTTTGGTTGGCTTTTCTTTCTTTGGAGCAGAGTGAGCTTTTTTTAAGCCTCCATCTGTTGTGAAACAAAGTGAGTTTGGCTGTAGCAGACATGAACATCTGTCTGTTCGTCAAAGCCTCTTGCATGGCTGTTCCATGCAAATTCATCTCAAAACAACCTTTCAGGTACTGAGCATCCTCTAGAAGAACAGAGTTGTCAGTCAAAGGATCTGAAGGGGCAGAAGCTGAGAACTGAATGTGTCAGTTCTCTGGTTCTGACTTGTCCCTGGGTGGCAGAAAGGGAAAAAGGGGATACGTGTCCTTTCAGCATTACTGAGGTATGGCTAGACTGATGGTGATGGTTCATGAGTTCCAAAAATAGCTTGTCTGCTGAAGGTCAGGGTCCTCTTTCATTAAGCAAGTCAGGCTGGGGGTGAGCCTGGCTGTTGGCAGAAAATACAGATCTTGCTTACAGGGCCTTGCAAACGTGGGGCTGAATGGATTATGGGTTGAAGACACAGGCAGGCTGAGGGGTGGGAGAGTTTTGTGCTGCCCTTCTCTGAGCCAATGCTGCTGTGGGGAGGTGTGAGGCACGGTGCCCGGTGATCTCAGCAGAAGGCATTGCAGCGAGGTTGGGCAGCAGAAATGTTTGCTCTGGGAAATTCTGAATGCAAAGATCAGCAGCTTTGAGCTGAGGGACTGCTGAGTCCCTGTGGACTTGGGACTGTTTGTGTCAAATACTGAGTGAGGTTTCAGAGTGAGGCTGCCAGGAGATGTCCCAAGCTAAGCCGTTACTACGTTAATCAATGTCAGAGCAGGAGGTCATGTGTGACGTAGGCTGGGGGGACTAACCTCCTCTCCTAGAGGGGAGAGGTTGTGGATGAGCAGGGTCAGAATTATTGCCCTGTTCCTGCACAGGGGTCATTCTTACATGTGCTGTTATGCCCTAGATGCGGTGGCACAGCTGGAGCCATCCTGACCTGTCCCTTGGAAGTGGTGAAGACACGTCTACAGTCATCCCAGCTGACACTGCGGCCTCTGTGCCTCTCAGAGATACAGCTGCCGGGGATGAGTGTGAGGCTGATGAACCCCACCCCACCATCTCCTGGAGTGCTGAAGTTGCTGAGGTGAGTAGGGCAGGGCAGCGTGCACGTTCGCACCGGGGAAGTGAAGGTTTGGCCATCAGGTGGAGAGAGAGGGGGGAAGAGAGAGAGAGAGACAGAAGTAGCATTTGAGCTGAGGCTCTGAAAACCGGAAGTGCGGTAGGAAGTTTCATCAGAGCACAGGTACATCTGCTTCTCACAGTTGATCTGTGCTTTGAACTCTGAGTCTGCAAGGCAGCTTTTGGGACTGTGAGAAATTTCTCAGCTAGTGGTTTGATCAGACCCAGAGTGACGGTGTCAGCAAGAATAGGAAGAAACGACTGAAGGAGAGAGGAGAAGTTGTTGGAGAGAAAATGAGAGTAGGGCAGAAAAAGGATAACACGGGAGGTGGGGAGAGGATGCTACAAGAAGTACTGAAGAACAAAGGAGGAGGAGGAGGAGCAGAAGAGCCCCCAGCTTATTTATTCTGCTAATTTCTGTGTTCATTTCCTTCTGTAGGGCCATCCTTGAGAAGGAAGGCGTGCGATCCCTGTTCCGAGGTCTGGGTCCAAACCTTGTTGGGGTTGCTCCTTCCCGGTGAGTACTGGTCCCTGAGGATAGCTCATGCTGTACACTTTTTAAAGGACCTCCGTGACAGCTATTGCCCCACATTCTGAAAGCAGTCTGGGCCTTGTGCTAATTGTGCCACAGGACCCCTTGACACAGACGTTTTCTGGACCTTCTGATCATAGTTGTAAGATAAGATGATTGCTGTGGGCCTAGTATAAATGGTATCTGATGTCACATTAGACAAACCTGTGCTGGGAATAAGAAAAGTTGGAGTGAGACCCTACAGCAGTGCTGTCTTTGCTCCTCATAGGTGAGCTGTAACCTCCTCTGTATTTTTTCCCACCAGGGCTATATATTTTGCTGCCTATTCTGGTGTTAAGGAGAGGCTCAATGCTGTCCTTGTACCGGAGTCCAAGAAAGTACACATGCTATCAGCAGCCTGTGCAGGTGAGCCTCCTCTGTCTCAAATTAGAGCCTAGGGGTCCTTCCATCTGTAAGTGTAAATGGGTTTCATTCCTTCCCTGTTGCTGCTCCCATCAGTCCTGCTCTCTCTTCTGAAGTTTCCTCCCTCCACACCTGGAGCAGTGAGTTCCTTGGGTAACCAAAACATTTTCTCACTCTTTTGTTCTTCTTAGGGTCATCTCTTCAAGTCATGGATCTAGTCTTTACCCCTTCAGCTGCTATCAGCTCCATTCAGCTGTGAGAGGGAGAAGGCAGCATGTAATTTAGACCACTCACAGAATCATTTCTCTTGATATATCCCAGTTCTCTAACAAAATCTTCCACTCTTGCAAGTTTAGCCTGTTGTTTCCTGCCTCTTTGTAACACCAGGGCCTGTAGTAGGGTATGTTGGAGGCAGAGGAGCTAATTACCACCAGACAAAGGATGGAATGGGGGAGGAGGAGAATGAGATAGTCTGCCCTAAATGTCTCCTCCCATGTGAGCTCAAGGTCGTTCTCAAACTGCAAATGCCTGCAGCTTGCCAAGCAGTATTCAGAGAGCTGATAGATCAGCACCTCCTCACAAACTGTCAGCGTGATCTGGGTGCTCATGGCTGTTTCCCTCTTCTGTTCTCCAGGCATTACCTCAGCCACGCTCACCAACCCTATCTGGTTAGTGAAAACCAGGATGCAGCTGGAAGCCAGGTAAGGCAGGCTAGCAATGCAGAGCCACTCCGTGTCAAATCAGGACTGGTTTGGGGGTGGGGTTGGGTAGGGGTCTGTGACTTGCCATCAGAGCATAGGTCTTCAAGGCATGCTGGGAAGAGTCATACAGTTGTATTCATAACAGCATTTTAGGTCAGTGGAGCAGTATGCCGTTCTAACCCTCCCTCTTCTTTACAGGGTGAAGGGGGAGATGGCCAGCAATGCTCTCCAATGTGCCATGCACGTGTACCGCACTGAAGGCCTTCGTGGATTTTACCGTGGTATCACTGCCTCCTATGCTGGAGTGTCAGAGACCATCATACACTTTGTCATCTATGAAGCACTGAAACAGCAGCTGAGAAACAGCCATCACTCCCTTTCCCCACCACTCACACTTTCACCAGACAGCCATGATTTCTTTGGACTAATGGGAGCTGCTGCTGTCTCCAAAACATGTGCTTCATGCATTGCATATCCACATGGTGAGTGGGTCCACCCTCTGTTCCCCTCAATGGGAGATGCCATGCCTGTAGGATCAATCTGCTAATATCACTTCCCTTTTTGTCTCTCCAGAGGTCATTCGGACACGGTTGCGAGAAGAAGGGTCACGATACCGTTCCTTTATACAGACTCTGCAGCTTGTGGTCCATGAAGAGGGACCCTTGGCTTTATACCGAGGGCTCCTGGCTCACTTGATCCGCCAGATCCCAAACACAGCTATCATGATGGCTACCTATGAACTCATCGTACATTTGGCCTCTTCCACCTTGTAAGCACGCTGTAGGACCTGGCTGAGGCTGCTGTAGAGATACAGGGACCTCATGGTCCTGAGACTTGGTCTTTTTCCATGCTCCGAGAGGTGGTGCTTTTCATCGCATATCAGAACTGGGTCAGGCATAGCATTCTCAGGACATAAGACTATTTTGTGCAAAATTTTTGGCTCCAATGTGCACAATGTAGCCTTTCTTCTTTCTGGAGACTTGAATTATTCCAGTGCTTCAAGATTTCAGGGCAGTGGTTTGACAGTGCCTGCTGTAAGCTCCCAGTATGAAACAAGGGCATGAAACTTACTGGAAAGGAGACAAAGGAGAAAGCATAAGACTATCTTAGACAGACTCAGCATGTTCACTTCTTTTGGACCCAGTAACAACCATACGTGGGCATAGTTGGACATGAAGACAGGCTAGAGCTGAGACATCTGAGAGAACTGCAGCAAGCAGAGATCTTGTGCTGAGACCTTTCATGCCCTCAGGGGGGCTCTTCCTCTCTCACCTACTGCGCTACCTTTCTGCCCCTAAAGAGGATTTCTCGGCCTTGGCTGCCAGCAAATGTCCTATTGCACAATCTTCCTTTGGGTCCTTAACACGTTGCAGCCGTTGCCCCGAGATGTGTCAGGCAGCTGACAGACTCTCTTTGTCTTGCAAGGTCTGAATAACCAGACCAAGTAGATACAGGGAAGAAGCACAACCTGCTATGAAGCACTACCCTAACAACTCATGCTACTGGGCTCATAGCCATGCTTTGCCAGTATCTGTTGTGTTTCCATCCCCTCCGTTCCCAACAGAAAGAGGAGGACATTTCCTTCCCTCAGAAGTGCTGGGGCTGTTCTGCTACAAGCTGGAATCCCTGGTGTGAAAAATACTCTTTTATGCTGGTAAAGTGGACCGGGTGAAAAGATGGATGAAGCTGAGGATTGAGCCTGTTTGTATTGATAATACACTAAGTGTATGGAAAGAGCCTTATTTTTTTTTGTAATCAAGAATTCAGTTTGCTGAATGTGACAGGCTGGGATGTCTTCTGTTCCTCTGTGGGTTCCTAGCCCCGTGTCCTGGGGAAGGCTACATTGTGTTTACAAAGAGTATTTGACTCTCAAAAAGGCAGGGGGTAGGGCCAGGCGTGATGTGTTCTTCTTGTTCCAATACATACACTAAAAAATGTAACCCTTCCCCGAGATAAGGCAGTAATTTCAGTAAATACATGCTCTGGACAATCTCCAGTCTCACATTAGAGGCTACACTGACCGTTTCTTCCCTGCTTGTAGTGAAAAACTGCAGAAGCCCTGAACATTTTATTTGAAATCCATTTATTTTAAAATCCACTTTGTTTCCTCATCCTTCTTGCCTTCATTCATTTAGTTTAGGAGTATCAACAATTTTACAAAGCGACACAAGCTGCAGTGGTTTGTTTTTTTTTTTTTTTTGCATGAAACGAGAAGAAACCTCAAACGACAACATTGAAAAAATATACAATATATATATATAATATCTGGGGAGGGGTTGTGAGAGACCCCACACTGAGCCCTATGGCTGGCTCCTCCTTCCAAATTTCTGTTCTTTCCAAGCCCCTCCTTCTTCATCATAGTTTGAACTGTGCCACTGTCATGTGCAAGTGCCCGAACACATGTTTCTAGAGAGCCAGATGGGGGGTCAATAATGTGGGGAATGTCCACAATGAGAATGGCAGAAGATGAAGGGACATGGGAGGCAAAAATGACAAATGAGGGAGGAGAGCATGTGTACACGGTGGGGGAAGGAAGAAGTTAAAAGTAAGACACCTCCTCCTTCCAGCCACATGTTTTCGGGGGATGCATTGGATTGGTGTTTTAAAGCTCCTAGTAGCGGTGAGAGACGTCACTTTTGCCAATGATGTGTCGGTCATCCACGTCATTGCTGTCCGGGGAATCGGGTGTCTCCGAGTCGGTGCTGTCATCATCGTCCATGCCCTCACTAGCTCTGCCCTCGCCGCTTTCTGCTGCCCTCTCCTGGCAGCTCTGGTAGGACTGGGGAGGTGAGACACGGGGTAAGGGAAGGATCTGGCAACACAGCTGCCCACCCAGCCCCAGCCACCGGTGGCTGCTCCTCACCTCCATGGGGTTGACTATGATAGTGAGGGCTGAGTCGTCCCAGAACATGTCGCTCTCTTTGCTTCCGGTGCTTGTGTGCCCTCCTTCAGCAGCCCCAGGGACCTCTTGCCCGACGCCCCGCCGGTGCAGGGAGTGGATGCGCAGGATGCCAAGGATCACCATGAGTGCCAGGAAGCCCACACACACCACAATGATGACAGTGGCAGCACTGGGGACCACTTTGGAGAAAGAAAATGAGAAGGCGTCGTTAGAGTCCGTCGGGGAAACATGCATTTCCAACCCGACCTGCAGGAACTGGGGTTCCTAGGCAGACCTTGGGTTTTTGGTCTAGACAGGAACATGTCCTGACTTTTCTGCTCCCCTGGGCACAGGCAGTTCCTGCCTTTAGCTGCTGCATCTTCACTTGAGGCCTGCAACAGTTTGCCAGGATGCCTATGTCCCGGCATCCTCTGATGTCAGCCTGGCCTGTAGACTGCATGTCTTCCATCTACGGAGTCACCGGAATATGTCGCACAGCAGCCATTTGTATCCTCCCCTTGGGAGGGAGAAATGTGTGCCAGGGAGAGCCTCTAAGGGCATGAGGATGGTTTTCAGAGGGTGTGATTTCTGTGCAAGCAGTAGAGAAAGAAGGAAGCCAAAAGAAATCTGTTTTGCACATGGGGCAGAGGTGAGGGCTATGATAGCCTTCTAATCAGTGCCACGGTCAAAGCCCAGCTTCTCCACAGGAGAAAACCTGAAATACATCTAAGACCCTTAGCCCAAGTCCCACCCCTTTATTCTAGGCCTGTAGGCCGAGCCTTGACTCCCCAGATAACTCCCTTCCCTGCAAAATCTATCCAGGCCCTCCGTGGATTTGTTCTGTGTGGTTCTGTACAGCAGGGACAAATTTTCCTTTTCTGCTGCGCTAGGGCAGAGCTGGGGAAGGGAGTGGCAAAGGCTGGTTTTTCATCCTCTCCTAGCATGTACGTAGGCTGTCCCTGCAGTGGCTCAGTGCCGGCTGCAGGACTGGACCAGCTTGGGATCAGCTGCTGCAGGAAGCTGCAGCAAAAGCTAGCACCAAAGGTGCTTTCCATGTTCCCTACAACAGGGGGCCAAAACCAACGTAGGGTCCTCTGTAACAGTCCTAGAGCTTTCACAGCCTAGGAGGAGCCAATTAGACGGCGGTCATGCTTGTGGCACAGGGCTGCCAGGGCAAACCAACAAATCTAATCTCTAGTCTAGCTTTCAGGCTTCTCTCTCTCCTCTGTTTTGGGGGCAAGCATCCTGTTATCTGTGTGGTACTGTCTCCTATATTTTTCTGCCTTGCTGATTGCCACCTAGTTCCATCTCTTTTTTTAGAGCAGTGGCAGTCTTGATTCTCTTGTTTCCCTCCTGCTGTTGAAGCTTCTTTCTAAAATTGCATTACCCGAGCCCGCATAGCACCTTTGCAAGGTGCATGAATGAAATCGTACCAGCTTACAGTCATTCTTTTTAGACCTTCTCAGGTGTAGATTTCAGACTGCTTCTACATCAAGAAAACAACACACCAAAAGAGGAGGACGTTGCACCAAGCTCTAAAGCACAATTTGACACAGATTGCAGTCCATTTGATAATGAAGAGTGGGACAGTACAGTATAATGAGAACTCAATAACATGGGCATAGGGAGCCTGAAAGGAATCCTCTGCTGTAGGTTCTACCAGGATATCAGAAAATCAGCATCCTGACCTAAAGGAATAAAACCAAAAGATAGTGTTACGTACTTGGGTTGTTATGGATGCTTGCCAAGCTGTGCCCAGATAGCTCTGGGGGTAAATTATGGCCTCGGTGCATGAACTGCTGGGAACTCAGAATATGGTTAGGATGAGCAGCTCGGTTCATGTTGTGGAGGACATTCACCTACAGAAAGACCAGAGTGAGACTCAGCCCTGTGTTCATCGCGATACATTCTACATTGTGTGCATCCCCGTCCACCATGTCCCCTCCATGCATGCACAAACACCTGTATGTGCATGTATTGATCTTGTACCTCAACAGTAAACTCATTGCTGGAGTAGCGTCCATTCATCTCAGTGCAGGACAGGTGAAACTTCCTTTCATAAAGAGCAGCGCCATGGTTGATGTGGTATGAGACCTGGCGTAGTATTTCCTCGTAAACTGCAATGCTTTCCACACCTGAGACAAGAAGAGAGAATTGGTGTGGAGCGAGGGAGCTCCTGCTTCAAAGTCATCTGGCATCGTAATGCTGTAGCAACTAGGAGCTATAGAAGAATCCAAGGCAATGCTGGGTTGATTAATTTTGGGAAGGGAGCAGAGCTGGAGCTGGCTGCAAAGGACCTGATGAAATCCCTGCCTGCACTGCTGAAACACGTGGAAGGGAAGGAAGAATCAAGAGCAACAGCCCTGTTAAGTTCTGACAGTACAATAGTGTTGTACCAGTCCACAACCTGTGGGATGTGCTGTCCCCCAGTCATGTAATGCAAAATGCTGCTGGCATCTGAGAACACCAAACCCCAAGGGCAATGGGAGTAAGTCAGGAGGAGTGATAGAAGCCTGGGTCAGAGCTCAGACACCATGCTGTGCGCTGGAGAGGGTGCCGCCTCCCCAAGGAGATGGCCTGGGACTTTCAAAAGCCAGGAGTTCAACAAATGGTGACATCTCAGAGTCTCACAAAGTACACCAACACATCTCTAACATCGGGTTAAGTGCTTCTCCCAGCAATGCCTGACAGGCAGTGAGAGACATAATTAGACGGCTGTGGCAAAGGAGAGGACATACCTGTGATGGTCAGGTAGGCAGAGGTGTTAACAAGCTCCAGGCCCCGCTGCTGCAGCAGTGCCCCATCCAGGAGCAAATACTCTCTCTCTGGGTCCAAGTCATCTCCCACCAATGAGATCTCGCAGCCATCCAGGTTGTGCACAATCTCATCTGACATTCGTGTGTCTGTCACTGAGATGCAAACGGAAAGACAGGGCCAGAAAGCCAGCCAGCCATCAGTGTGAAGGCAGGAGTTACTCAGAGTGGTACCCACTTACTTAAAAGTGCTCACATCATACATAATGACTTCTCTTTCTCTGGCTAGTACTGACCTTGAGTAAAATCACTGTCAGTCTAATTATTTGTTGGAGGAGTCCCCCTGGTTCTAATGACATTATTTATGCACATAATAAAGTCACTTTATTTTGGAACAACATACCATTATTGGACTGGTTCATGATAACACATCTTGGCTGTAAGGACTCTGTTGACAATGACAATGTGCAAATTAGGATATCACACATTCCCAGACCCTGAAGTGCTTTTGAAAGCCTTCCCCTGTCTCACAACTGCTGGTTACCATGGTTGAGATCTTATCTTCTTTAAAATGGCAACCACATTCAATGACTAACTGCTTTCAGCAGGGCTAAGACCAACCTGCTCCAAGTCAAGAAACTCATCATTGTATGAGGAAAGGCAAAGCTGCTAAACAGAAAACTATGAGCAAAAAATCCCATTGCCAGAAAAGATACGAAAGAAGTGAAAGAACATGTGGAGCACAGAGTGCAGAAAAGTAATCTGAGGATGATGGAGAGAAATTGAGGGACAAGATATTATAGGGTGTGAGGAAACTGACTGGGGAATTCAAGGAATAAGTGATGCAGGAAGGGTTGGGAGGGGGCGAGAAATAAGGAAAGCAGGAGAGAAGGAAGCAGGAGGAGACTGAGTAAGTGCAGGAGCGGAGAGGGTAATAGGCAGGACATCCATCCACTGCTGGATTCAATAAAGGGAAATGTAGGTAAAATGTAAAAGGGATTAGGAATGAGCAGCCTGGGAAAGGAGGAGAGACCGAGGCAAATTAACTGGGTGGATAGAAAAAGTACAGGGAGGAGCAGAAAGGGATAAGAACTGATTAGCCTACATATTGACAGACAATGTGCCTTGCTTCTGTATTTG